GGCAAAGTATAGGTTTGATAAACAGTCGTATTACTGAAGCAATTTGATAATGTCACACTCACTTTGATACCACGGGATTTCTGAATTGTGTAAGACGATGTAAGGTTTCCAGGAGCATGGTTGCAGGGGAGGGACTTTGGAGCGAGAAGAGGCGAGAAGCCAGGCAAAGCTTTCACGGCGATCACTGGGAGACCGAATTGATATCGTGGATTTTTTAGCATTCGATGCACTTGATACACTGGCATGCCGGCCGGCTGGGAATCATAACTTCTTCAGCAGACAGGAAGAATAAATTGGCAGAAGAAACTGATCTGACCCAGGCTCGAACTGGCGGCCTGGTGGCCTACCAAAGTATGTCGAAACGCGACGACGTGAATCGACCACCGAAATCGGGGGAACGCTGGCATGGCGGCAGGCAGCTAACTTCGAGATATGATAGATCCTAGATTCCGGTGCTCAGTTGATTCAATCCCTCCAGCACCAAACAAGAATCCAGCATGATAGCGCAAATAGTAAATTCAAGTTGAAAACGCTATACATAATATGGGCGCGTGCAGCAATGTAACTTGAGGGTTGCCTCGGTTGGATATGAATGCGCATTCTAGTAGCATTTGGCGTTTCGTCTGATTGCAAGTTTGTAATAAATAAAATAGGTGCGCCATACCGTAGGGTTTGTTCGGGTCTTTCATGCGAACCAGGCAAATGTACCGACGCCATGTATCGACAATCCAGGTGACGTCGTGAGCTTGTGGAGACATGAAAAAAAATCCAGGAACATGCTAACGTCCACGTCGATAAAAGCAAGAGCTTTGGGGATGAAAGGAATTGCTAAATTGCGTGAAAGAAACAAAAACTGATCTGAGCCAGTTTCGAACTGGCGACCTTCTGTGGCACTATTACGTAAGCAGTACATAATGTTAGACAGATGCGATAACCAACTACGCCATCAGACCGATGAAAGTCATAACTGTGTTATGGTCATAAGGGCTTTCTTACTTCCAACGATGGGAATATGTCCGCTAGTACCTTGTGTAGGGGGTCTTGTTAGAACGATTCGTCGTTCACTTTTTGGCGGGAAAACCTGAAAAATGATTAATGAAATTGATTTGGTCTCGACCAAGTCTGGTTAGGGTCAGGCGTGATGATAACATTTGTTATTTACTATGTTCGAGGTGGTAGCATAGCGTTAGCTACTCGGTCTGCGTACCCCCCAGTCTCACCATCAATCGTCAGGTCTCGGATCTATGACAGCTATGCCTCAGGTGTTAGTTGCATGCAATGCAACGTCCAAAGCACCGAACCGAAAGTGTGGTTCCAGCCGCGTTCGCGCGTTTAATTGGCTTTGAAGCCAGTGCCCTATGGGATGAATTCTTGGTTTCGGCCGTTTATCAGGGACGTGCGCTTGCGACGGTTCTGGGATTGTGTGTAAGTTCTTCTCCGGAGGAGGTCATCAAAATTGGACTGGATTGGGTTGGGCTATGGAGTGCTGTGGGAGCCGAAGGTCGTTTGTCCAGGACGACGGTCGCGGATGATGTTGTAGGCGGCATGGAAATTTATGACTGCAAATGTAACTACTAGTTCAATTCTCGTGTATCAACCTGAAATTCTGCAAAAAAATGCTTCCTTGCTTGCGATTGCTTGAAAACCTGGTAAAGATAAATTTGCTCAGGGGAGGTGTAATATCGGGTAGCGGGCTTTGCCGCTTGATGCGGCCCTCCAAAGGTTATACTCTCATTCCAATAATAAATCCAGCTCCATGTTCAAGACCTCTGGATATCTGGATGGAGCGAGCGAAAAGGTGATG